GGTCAAAAGAAAAATAAAAATAATAGTGAAACTAATAATGATAACATAAATAAGAGAGAATATGAGGCATCTACAGTAGTGTTACCATATAAAGAGGGGATATCTGAAACCCTCTCTACGTAGGACTGTCAATGAAACAGGAATAAGGGTGGCATTCAAACCCACAAACTCACTCAGGTAGAACAAGCTCTGTAGATTAAAGGACTCTGTCTGTTGACCCAATTAGACAAAATAATATAATTTACAAAATACCATGCAATGACTATGGGGTCAACTACATAGGTCAAACTAGTAGGTCACGGGTAGTCAGATTATCAGAACGTAAGAATTTAACTAAGGGAAGAATGGTTGACCCCGAGAAGATAAGTAATCTAGAAGAAAGCTCAGAGATTGCACTACATGCATTAGTACACAACCATAAAATAGGATGGGAGAGGGTTCAAATTCTAGGAAGTAATCTATGTAGGTGAAGACAGAGACAGGTTGATTACTGAATCCTGTCTGGTTCATCCATTATACACACCCAACACATGCAACAGAAATGATTAAATGCAAATACCAGAGATATGGAAGATATTATTACTACCAGTCAGCCAAATCAAAGGAGGATAATAAATAACCTTAGAATTCTATTTGAATTCACGTACATCATAACATTCTAACAAGTTACTTTTAATGGCTAAAGAAAACAATCGTCTTATTTCCCATCGGATTGTAATTGATTAATATCACTAATATTATTTCTGAACGTACATTATCCAATACTGATTTTTATTCAAATGTCTAATCGATTCCGCACACGTATATAGATGAAGGGAAAAGATGTGTGAGTAACTTGATATGATTATGAGTGGCAATAGTTTGTGTTCGAACTGTGGTCATCAGTTAATATTACTGTATTCCTTTAATATAAGGTTTTAATGATTTATCGATAGTGTGAGTAACGTTTGACAAATAAGCATTTTAAAAATCTAGCTTCGCTTTCCTTCTGTTCTCAATCCCTAAGCTGTTTCAATTCGCACAATGAAGCATTGTATCTTCACTCCAACACTTAACTTAACTGTGGATCATGTAGTTGACTGTAAAATGATTAGCAGATGAAATCTTGACCTGGCCACTGTCACACACAGTATTCCATGTCAAAACATACCTTGAGTAGTAATTCGTTTGAAAAAGACTTGGTGACGACTAGATTAAAATACTTGAGATCAAAATAATAACAAATGGATTGCATTCATTCACTACTTCATTTGCTGTGTGACTGATCACTGCTTAAGTGACGAAACACGATGGTTCATTCGTGAGTACTCTGTGAATGACATTGAACAGTACATCAGCTGAAGTACAGCAGTTTGCATTGACTACCTGCTGATTTGGTAGATGATCTATGTGTCTGATGCAGTCATACAAAGTTATTATTATTATTCTCTTGGGTTCCTAGTGGAACATAGGGCTTCAACTGCACGTCTCCACTTGCTTCTGTCTTCTGCTGTACTTTTCACCTGCATCCATCTTAGTCCATACTGTTTCAACTCCTCTTCACACTATCTCCTCCATGCAACTCGCCCCTTCGCATTCAGCGTGGTTCTACTCGAGCAATGGCCTGAAGCACGTGCGATGTCACCCAGTGGCCTCGTCAGCGGGTGTCCATCTCCACTTTCTCTTGCATATTTGTTGAGCGATTGGTTCTCGTTTTGTTTTGTTTTGTTTGTTCCCATAGTTTCTTGTTGGTGATTCTTTCCTGCCTGGCCATCTGATCTTCAGTATAGAGCGAAGATAGTTAGTTATTGATAAAGGTCTGCAATAGCCAGTCTGTTGAAAATATTCTTTGTGACCCGTCTGCCAAGTTTCTGATCCGATCTGTACAGAAGAACTGACTGACTTGACGTTTGTATTGAAAATCCGACCGAATTTTGTTGTTGATTCTGGCTGAGTGATGAAGATTTATTCCAGATTGGTTTCAGGCTGATGAATGTGTTTCTTGCATTCCCCCCGATTCTCGATTTGACATCCTCGTCCGTTCCTCCTGTAGTTGAGACGATGCTCCCTACATAAGTGAAGGAATAAAGTATCCTCCTTCAAATCCCTCACGTTGATGGTGATTGGCGCTGGATGTTGCTGTTGTTGTTGTTGGTTGGTTATTTTCATAACTTCCGTCATGTCTATGTTCACCTGTCTTCGCCGGCTGCTTCTTCGACCAGTTTGTCGGTTTTCGCTTGTAATCCTTCGATTTTGTGTGACATCAAACATAAATCATCCACTCTCGAAATCCAGGTCTTCTAGGTTCTTCGCGTCGGTCCAGGATATTCCTGTCTTCTCGTTTCTCACTGTCTGACGCATGATCCAGTCAGTCCACCACAATTAGGAATGTCATTGTTGATAATAAGCACCCTTGTCTGACTCCTGTGTTAACTCCAAACGCCTCGCTGAGTTTTCCGTTGTGTATCACTTGACATGTTCCGTTGTCGTACAGCTGATGAATAAGGTTGATGAATATTTGGGGTACGCCGTAGTACTTGAGTAGTTTCCAAATTACTTCGCCGTCAACGCTATCTGTCGAAAGCCTTCTCAAAGTCTATAAAGTTGATGTAGATGTTTAATTGCCATTCCAAGCTTTGTTCTGTGATGATGATGCGTAGAGCTGCAATTCTGTCAGAAGATGATTCGCCTATCCTGAATTAACCATACAAAGTAGTTAACGACAACTGAAGGATGATGTGTAGAAAAATGCCTGTAACTATATTAGTGTTAAGTTAATCTCTGAATTCATTAGGAATAAAGAAACGTTATAGTGATATCTGTGAATGAAGAGGATTGACAAATTTGTCAGTCACTTCTATCGCTTCAAATTAGATATAAATTGGTCTTTATAGACCAATAAAAACCCGTTACGTTCTATATATATTTTTTTTATTTTTTTATTACACTTTTTTGAATGATTTTGATGCCAAATTGCCAAATGGTGGGGGGGGTACCGCTGGGGGAGCACCTGCCCCAAAAGCCCAATAATCGTAAATGAGTAGCACCCATCATTCAAGGAAAAAAGCCTATGATGGGTTCATCAAGCCAAGTGATTTGTCAACTTAGTCAAGAATTGCACAAGACGACTGGTGATTTCTAAAATCTAAACTGTAAAACTGCTGACTCTTGAACAGCAAATAAACACTGTTGTTTGAATACGTCAAATGTGTATTTCACTGATAAGCAACGAAAGTGCAACCACTTGAGGTCTTGTGTCCTAAATATTCTGTTTTTATACGGCGGTCAGTCTGAAAAACAAAACTATTGACAGATCAGTGCACAATATTTTATTCACTGTCAGAGATATCTTGTAAGGTCTGAAGAAGACAAAAACTTTCGTTCTGGCCTATAAAAGCAACCATTTATGCAATCATTTTATAGATTGTGGAAAATATTCATCGGGACATTAGAAGGAAAAGAACAAGAAGTTCAGCAGCAAAGATAACTATCATTTTGGCGATTTCATTCTCAAAATCAATCGTACAATCGCATTTATATACATTGGTTTACATGAATACAATTATTATTTATTTAATTCCACTTAGTAATGAAGGATATAATAATTTTCAACCGTGTTTCATGGTGAAGAACATGAAAGCAAAGCCAAAAAGAGAAGAATAGACTTCAGTGCCAAAGAAAACACTTTATTTGAATCTAGAATTCAGGGGAAACCTAGCAGCAGATATCCTTAAAAGGAGAATCTCCAAAATCCCTTTTCCGGCAGCAACTCTAAGAGTGATATTCTCTAGCCACCCACTACTTCAGAGCAACGGGAAGGATAGACTTCCGCATATAACCACTTCAATGTGCGTATATCAGTTCATCTGCTCGTGTGGAGCTAGTTACATAGGTCGTTCTATGCGGGTCTTATCAAAACGTGTTAGAGAACATCATCCAACATGGCTGCAAAGAGGAGCCACTGGTTCAATCAGAAGCGCAATAACTGAGCATCTCGTGAATACCTGTCACAGCATCTCAACTGACTCATCATTCAGAGTCATTTACAAAGTAAACAAAATATCTACCAAAGGCAGTGTGTTTCCGACTGCTTTGTACTGCACAAGCTCTCACCATATGCATCGTAAAGCCAGAAAGAGCCCCATATTCAAAAGAAACTAACCCAGCCTTTACAACTACCATGGACCTAGTTCGGTATGTTCCCTTATCCTTCAGTTTTTAATTTTTTTTTGGTTTTGTTCTCTGTGTGTGTATATTTTTGTCTCTTTGTCTTCATTCGATTCATCCCATTTTTTCACTTATAAAATCAGTTATTTTAGGTTTGTCTCCATGTTCCTCCTGATCACGATTGTAATCGGTTTAGAATAACCATTTTACAATTATATTCTAATCCTGTGTAATCTTTTTGTTTCTACGCCTCTTGTAATCCATATCCATACCTTCTAACTTACATTTCAAGTTGAAAATTTTGATTTCAATTTGTTTCCATGCTCATTTTGTTCACACCTGTGATTCTTTCTATCCCTGCGTAAGTTTTGCTTGTAAGTCTCTTGTGATTTATATCAAGCTGAAAATATTTATCACCTTTTATTCGCCTTTAAAATTATTATTTCTCCACTTATCAAATATTAATTTTGCATACATTTCAACTGTTTTCTAGTCGCATACAATCTTGTCTCTAAAACCCTTGTAATCTATATTCATACCTTCAAACTTGCATATCAAGTTGAAAATTATAATTTCCTTCGTTACTACTATGTGGAATTAAGCAAATAATAATTGTAACCATGTAAACTAATGTATATAAAAGCGAATGTACAATCGCTTTTGAGAATGAAATCTCCAAAGAGATAGTTATCTTTGCTTCTGAACTTCTTGTTCATTTCATAGATGTTAAGCAATCAGGATAAGTTACTGGTTAACAGAGTAGGTGAGAACTCAACCAATCAGAATTCTAATAGTGACATGAATCCGGATATCCGCATGTAAGAAATAAGATTCACTACTAATAACTAACTTACAGGATTATGATTGACCCTTTGATTGTCATTGAGAGGAAACATTGGTCCAGTATCATCGGTTTTGTCAGAGAAATCATAATAAATAAGCGGAGTGACAGAAAAAGCATTTTGCCTGAAGAAAAAAACATTCATAATGTATAAAATTGAAGAAAAACGTTTTCTAAATAATATTATTTCTTTCACACTTAGAGTTTTGTAAGCTCGATATGGTCAATTCTACTGACTGATATGGGTAGTCAAAAACTGTTCTGAATTGAGTGAAATCACTTATGTGCCGTTTTTTTCGAAATGAACTCGTTGTCGGTTTACTTAAGGGAGAAAAACTCTAGTAATAATAGGATTTCATTGGCTACAGGATTTCATCATTAGTTAACATGGGTTACACAACTACTGGAAACCTTGTAGGGAGTAATGGAGAAGTAGGTGTTTCGTCCGGGTGTGGTACCCTTCGAAGTACACATCCAACACGGGGAGGGGGTTTAACGCAGGACTTTCCGGTTATAGGGCCAGCTCGTAGACCACAAAGCCACAGGGACTTGATCCAATGTCCACGAATTTCAACTTCTGACACTCCATGATATAGCGTGACTGGCACTAGTTGTTGCCATTCGTGGCAAGTATCTGTCCTCATACCCGGCCCTCTGTACCCCATTGATCACAAATTCTCACTAGAACCCAGGTAACTATCTACCTTAACAGGAAGAACCACGAATGAGCATCACACTGATATTCAGGTTTTGGTTTTCAGGGAAATCTGACACTTGAACTATAGGATTATTGTACAAGTGTGGTGAGAGCTGTCTGTCTGCTAGCCAAAATTGGTAGACAGCAACTTACGTCAATGTTTACGTCCCAAATCTTGGTCACAAGAAAGTAACATGAACAAAAACTAACCAATCACAGCAAACTCTGTATGGGCGGATACGATTCGCAAACATATGGTGTGACCTTCAAAGAAATGGCCACAACAAGATAACAGATTCACTTTCAGTGAGAAAACGATCAGTCAGGAGATGCTGTTTCTCTGATGATAATAATAACGAATAATAATTAACTACATGATAATCTATAAATATCTGTTGATTTCTGAATAGACGAATTGTTTCCTGGTCCTTGTCTTCTGCCGTTACACAAGTAGAATTACGGCGTTGTGATTTCAGAGATTCAGCTTTATAGGTTATATAAACACCCACAACGAAGTCCTTTACATTCAGGAAGTGAAACTTCTCTTATCACTGTCACTATCATTCAGCGGAGAAGTGCTTATGTGTAGTGTAAGTGCTCATCATTTTACTAAACGTACGTATTATTTTATCCTCTACTGCTTTCATGCTGACAGTCTCAAAGTCGCTTTCCATGTCAATCTTTTCCACCCTTAAAGTGTGAGTAATTCAGACATTTTTATAATATCAGTGAAGATTTACATTAAAGTCACACAATATCGAGATAGTTTCACCTTGGAATACATTTATACCAAAATGTCACCTGAATTTGTGACTTAAATCAAATACTCTGATGAAATGGATACTTGACAATGAAGTACTGTGACCAGCCAGACAAAGGGACGTGCAGTATGGGTCAAAACAGAGCTGTTAAGGATTACTATTTGCTGGCTGATGAAAAACAGAGGATGTGAACCGAAATTATTTTGCTAAAATTTTGTTATTCAGTGGTGCTACTTATATCCATTTGTGAAAAAGTCTATATTGATATCAGCCAATTCCTAAGAAACTTCTCAGTAGTATTCTGTTATTCTACTTAAAAATGTTTTCGCTCACAACGGCCTATTATAGCGTTAAAAATGTTTCAATTTGTAAACTAAAGAGAATTTGGTCACAGGATTTCATCATGAGCTGAAATTGGTTAGAGAACCACTGGAAAAGCAATACCGGAGTACAGGACTGCTGTTTCGTTCTAGATTAAGACTCTTTACAGCACACACCCACCGAAGGGGGTTCGAACCATGACTTTATGGTTAAAAGGCGAGCTGGCAGGCCATTAAGCCACTGGGACTTGTTCCAGTGGGTAGCCTATTAATTCTAAATTCTGCCGATTCACGAAATAGCACGGCCGCTAGCCAATGTCTTCGGCGAGTTTTTTTTTGTCTTTACCCAGGTAACTACCTGCCTGAATAGGGCTAGTAGCTAATGAGCATCTCATTGATTTTCAAGTATTGTATCGTGTCCAAGTGGTATAATAGTCTACAAGCTCGCCTTGTAACTAGAAAGTCCTCGGTTCGGACCCTGGCGGTGGGTGAGGTTAAACTGACCGATTAACAGTCAAAAACTAAGATATAACAGTCGTCCAGTACTCCAGTGTTGGTTTTCCAATGGTTCTTTAATCAACCCCATCTCATAATGAAATCCTGTAAACAATCAATCATATTCCTCCAAACTAATATTTGAAAATTAAAGAGAATTTCTTGAAAAGAATACACTTCATACAGGCAGATTACAAAATACTAATTCCTAAATAAAGCACTCCATCAACAGGAAGACGGCAAGGTTATGTTACCAGCCAGAAGCCGATTCACATAAATACTCAGGAAATAACTTTTGTCTACTTCATTTTCTAACTCATACTGATAGATACGACCATGGCAGCATTGTTGAAACTCTCCACCACACACTGAATGAACGTGAAATAAGCTTCAGGCTAGAAATTGTGACTTGTGAAATGAGTAATCTAATAAAAACTAGTTAATACTAAAGTCATTTCAATCTTTAGAGTTCAGTGGTGCGGTGGATTGAGTAAATAGTAAAACGTTAAAAGTGTAAACTAGAACTAGAAATGATACAAGGGAAAGGAGCATCATATGGAAATCAGAGGAAAGTCAACATTTTTTTTAGCGAAATGACAACATTTTGAATTCTTGTCGATTTTTCTACGGTGTGGAATGAAAGAAGGAGTCAAAATGTATAAGCTCAGGTTGATGATGAATCGAGTTTTGCACTCACAGCCTTAGAGAACATACTGTTTCGAGTTAGTTTTGATTTTGTTCAATACACGTGCAAATAGTCAGCGGTAAACTGGCTATATCCTAATTGTGCTGGACCAGATTATGCTCCAGAATGTGGGAAGCTAGAAGACAGGGATATGCTGGACAGAGGAGAAAACTATAGAAGATCGGGATTTCGCATGTGGATGGTTTACGTCCAATTTCACACAAACTCGAAGACTTGCATGTGAAAATCAAGAAACTGGCTGAAGAGGCAAGCACCGAAGACAGGGCTCCAGGTGAACATAGACAAGACGGAGGTGATGAAGATAACTGACCACTGTCAATAACAGACAGCACCAGTCACTATCAGCAGGAGAGATTTCATAGAGGTTGCCCCATTCCCTTATCTAGGAAGCACGGTTTCAACCATAGGGAAGTCAAACAGATGAAAGCGTCAAAGACAACCATAATCAGAAAGGCGATATACATCTTCATGAATTTGTAGCCACATCAGAAATCTCCACTGCACTCAGTCAGCTTAAAGAACAGGACTTGAATTTTCAACATAATGTGGAGTTAGTCAGTCAATTCTTCTATATGGGTCAGATCCTTGGCGCCCGCCTCATTCATAACAATTCAATCAGCTTGCTGTAGACTTTTGTCAACAGCTGTGTCGGCCAGCTCCATATTGAAAACAAAATAGCTTGCCAGAAAGAATAAGCAACTATACACTTTGCAGTGGAATAAACCAACCAAGCTTAGCAAATATTGGGAGAAAATGGTGATGGATAGAGCGCAGACTGAGGAGACTGTCGAATGGTATCGCGCGCCAGGCCTTCAAGCGGAAATTGAATGAAAAACGACGAGTGGGGCGTCTGTGCTGAATAAGGAAGAGATCGTTTGGCGAGGCGGAGGAGGAGGAGGAAGAGATGAGAGATTATGGCCAATCGTGGTTCCAGCGAAAGACAACAGCAAAGAATATGAAAAAGTGGAGACATGATGTTGAAGCCCTATATTCAACTTGGAACTGGAAGAGACAATAATAATAAAAACTGGTTATGATTCAGTGATTTGATTGCGGTTACTAACCAGTCCAAAGGAACTTGATCTTTACTTTGATAAAAATGTCGTAAAGTTACTGAATTCGCCGCTGTATAAAATAAGTTCAAGTATTTTGATGTGGTTGTGTTCTCTGAGCTGGATAGTTAATTTGCGAATTTCATCGTCCTAATAGACGACGTCTTCAGCGCATTCCTCAATTTGAATTGAAGTGAGCTTTTAGATTTCTATACGAGTTTACTAATCATTTCTCCTGACAGGTGACCTTGGGCATGATCGGTTGTTTTTGTGTGTTGTCGCACCCTCTAGGCTACTTGTATTGGAATTGATTGTTTCTTTGGCTTGAACTTCGACTCCTTGTGTGTGATGTTTGTTTCTTATCGGTTGATAAATTTTGTCTGTTTCTATGTGTCTATTGATTGATGATTCACTGGAATGCCAAGCTTCTAAAAAATTTTCTAGCATTCTTGTTGTTTCCTCTGTCTAGTATTTGAACGTTGGTTGTCTCAGTCGAATTGATGTCCGTTGTTGTCTGTGTGTAGTGAAATGAGCGAGTGGATATCATGTCTTCTGACGGCTAGTTTATGTTCGTGGATACGAAGACAAAGGGGACGTCCACTTTTGCCAATGTAGTGTTTTTCGCAGTTGTTACGATTTCTTTTGTACATGATGATGTTGGTTTTATCTTCTTTCACTGTTGATTCCTTTGGTTGACACAGAATTGAGTGAAGTGACTTTGTTGGTTTGTGTATGACGTCAATTCCTAAAGGTTTGAAGAGTCTTGTAGTGATTTCTGAATTATTCTTTGATCTACCAAAGATCAAACCCAAGATTTGGATACATTACGTTGACGACACATTTGTAATGATCAAAATAAACGAGTTAGATAAAACTGACAACTTAACAAACAACGTCTTCAACGACACCACATTCAAAAGAGAAGAGGAATCCGGAAAAAAATCCCATTTTTGGATGTCTTAGTCAAGTGAACAACCACAGAGGAATTAGAAACTCAGGTTCATAGGAAATCAACTCACACGGACCAAATCCTGAATTTTAACAGCAACAATCCAATAACACACAAAAGGAATTGTATACAATACTATTCAAGAGAGCCAGCCAAGACTCATTGCAGCACTCTCACCTTACGGAAACTTGAAGAAAAATATCTCATAGACGTCTTTCAAAAGAATGGATATCCACAGACTTTCATCAAAAGACATATACCCCCAAGCCGACCTATCAACCAAAAGCTTCCAAGAAAAGCACAAAGAAAATCGCCTTACCATATATAAAGGATATCTCAGAAATCAAGTATTCTGAGGGAACTGAGGATGCTAAAATTCAGTGTATAATTCCTATCAATGATTTGATCAATGAGGCTAATATCTGTCAAAATAAGTAAAACACTTAACCAAGTCAACATCACTCACTTGATATACTGCTCTAGATATTTTTTGATCTCTGGTAACATGACAGGCATCACTTCTGGGAATTTACGATCTTCTTTTTCCTCTACCTCACTTAGGCTACAATAAACAGTGTAACAATCTTAGACTTGCCAACACAAGTGAGACGACGTCTTAAAAATATTTCCATTTTTATCGCAGATGAGGAAAACAAAATTAACATTCACGTATACTTTGATTGGACACCAGCTGGTAACTGGTAGAATGTGTCTAGTCCTTTCTTTTGTACAGAATGAATTCTATCAGTCACGTTTGCAATGTAGCCACCATAATGGGGTGGCTGGCCATCACCCTGCATTTTAAACTGTTGATTTCAATGGTTTCAGGCCGTTAGCAGGAAGCTTTACTCGACATAGGTTTCATGATAGTTGATGCTCATCAGCAAAGCGTATCCGCTACGCTGAAGGAGCTCATATGCCTTATGAGATTCGAATCCATAACAATCATATAATGCTGCAGTTAGTCGTATTTCTACTAAGCTATTCGAGCGCGAATAGCTCAAGCAAGGCATTCTGTTGATTGCCTACAACCATCGATCGACATCGTCGAAGACGTTTCCAAAGTCGATGAAGTTGAGGTAGAGAGCTGACTGACTGTCATTCCAAGCTGTGTTCAATGATGACACATAGTGTTGCGATTTGATAGACGCATGACTTGTTCCCCATGCATTCAGCCTGTTTCAGTTGAAGTTTTTCATTCAGAGTGGAGTGCTTGGTTCTCTCCAGGATGATGCGGCTTAGTATTTTGCTTGTGATAGACAGAAGCATAATCCCACGCCAGTTCTTGCATTGACCTAAGTCCCGTTTGTTTGGCAGTTTAAATAAGTAGCCTTTCTTCCAATCTTTGAGTAACTTGCCTTCTTTCCAAAACTTCTCCAGTAGTGGTGTCATCAAGTTCGCTGATGCCTCGCGGTCAATTTTTAATGCTTCTGCTGGGATTCCGTCTGATGCTGCTGCTTTTCCTAACTACTTTCAAAGCAGAAGGAAACATAATTGACGCATTCAACCTATCTGAGAGTGATGTAAGTATATAAAGTGGTTGAGAATTATTTCTTGTATCCCAAACGACATGGTATAAGGAAAATGATAGTCAATCCTTTTGATATGTGACAGTAAGTATGAACGATTGATTATCTTGGTGCATTAAGCAATCATTGTACTGTGAACATGCTGCATATTCAGCTAATTTTATACTTACTGGCTACATATTTTAAAAATACAACAGAAGGAAGAAATACTTAATCAAATTAGTTGACGTACTCATTTGTGTTGCTTGACTGTTGATTGATTTCCTCTGTTACAGTGGAATTTAACTCTTCGTTGATGGAGTGAACTTGTTCACTAAATTGAGAGTGAGGAGATAAAATGAATGATGTTTCTCAAAATTCATACATAGAATAACTGAGACATCTCTATGTGAAAAAATGGTTTCGTTTCAAAATTGTATGGAGTTTGAAAATTAGCCTATACTTGGGGTTACAAAGAGAATGTGTACATGGAGAGGAATTCAGGAATACTAGCTAGTAATCATATACCAGTATGAATAAATTTAAACTATAAAGACGCTTTAAATTCTATTCTATCCAGAATGTTGTGTGTTTTGGATTTTCTCCTCAGATTGACGAAAATCACCCTACACAATGGTTAAGTAAAAAACAAACTAAATTCATCCAGTAGCGTCATTCTATCTCATCTTGTGAATTCAGAACACAAGACTGATGTTAACGAGGCTTTCAAATTCGTTTACCGCATACTGACAAATCTTAATCTCGCCTGAAGAGTTCAATTACTAAGTATTGCTGAGGCTGTTGGGATCCACATTAACAAGCTTAATTCATGCATCTAAAAGAAGTTAGTTCAGACGGTCTTTCCCTACCTTGGCCATCTAGCTTTGAATGATCCTCAGTTTTTTGTAAAAATTTCCTTAATAGCATATTTAGCGTGTGCAAATACGATTCGCAGATATATGGCTGAACTGTCTTATAAAGAGATAACAGAATAACCTTCGGCAGGAAAACAACTAATCAGAGGAGGTTGCTTCCCGTTAACAATAACTTTTATAATAATGCACATGAAAACCTGTAAATATCACTCAATTTTCTCAACAAACGATCTGTCACCTGTCCCTTGTCTGCCGTCGTTACAGTAAGAGAGAAAGGCAAATTTATCGAGATTAGTTGGAGGATTTCATCGTGAGCTGACATCAGGTAGAGAAGCATTGGAAAGCCGGCAGTGGAGTACTAAATAGCTGTTTCGTCCTAGTCAGGGACTCTTCGTCAGTAAGCACCCACCACAAGAGGTTCGAACTTAAGACCTTCTGGTTACAAGGCTAGCGAGCTCGTAGACCATTCAGGAGCCACTCGGACCCAACCCGACCCAGTGGCCAGCCAGTCCATGAATTCTAACTTTGTCAATTCACGACATAGCGCTACCACTTCGCAATGTCTTCTTCGATGAATAACTGTCCCCATCTTCAACTTGCTGGTCACGGCTTCCCACTTGAACCCCACGTACCTAATTGGCAGAATGGGGCCAGTTGGCAGTGAGTATCAGATTAATTTTCAAGTATTGGGTTTCGTGGGAATTTAGTTTGACCGGTTAGAGGATTTCATCATGAGCTGATATCAGTTAGAGAACCATTGGAAAATCGGCACTGGAGTCCTGGACAGCTGTTTCGCCCTAGTTCCAGAATTTTGTAGTGTTATGTACCCACCGGGGCTCGAGATTATCTGAAAGAGTCTTAGGGTTAGCAGATTGTTAGTGATGTATAACTTGAGTAAGATTTAATTTTAAGAGACGAACAGTTTTTGTCAAATTTAGAGAAGATCAAATCAATAGTTATCATTTTTGAAATTGCTCATTTCTCTTACACTCCCAGGTAAATTTTTAATCAAATTGAATAAATTTGAGGATATTGATTTACTAACAAAACGAGAGAGAAACATTTGCACCAAAAACTGAATTTAGTAAAAGCTAATTTCAACATTGAATTACTCGACCAAGTCAACATAACTTACTCAGTAGGCGGCTGTGTATATTCGTTGACCTCTGATGGTGTTGCAGTCGTCAAATCCGAAAGTGTGGACCCTTGTTTTCCCTCTTCTCCTCTACAAGGCATATAATGAAACAAGTAATACTTATTGCCTTGGCAATAATAATAATAAGCTAATACTAATAATAGGCAGAATGCGAAAGTCAACGAATTGTAGGAATAAGGGTTCGGTTATACCAGAATGTCCAGCACTCCCTGGTTTTCAATGGTTCTCTAACTGATATCAATCCGTGATCAACTCGTAAAAACATAACAAACCCTTACAAACCAAACCAATTAAGCTTTATTCCAAAACAGTACTTGCGAATACAGATTGGGATTCTCAACATTTTACCACAGTATTGCATCCAGTTAGTACATCATCAATAAAAGAAAATTCTTCATAGATTAAGGAAATCTCAGTTCATTATGACAACATCTTATTAGCATGTCAAAGACAAAGCCTAAATTAAACAAAGTGTTTGAAGGTGCTAAAAAAATAGATGCTAGCATATTTACTGGCGTAAGCAGAAGAAAGAAAGAAAGCTGCACATAAAAACAGAAAAAAGAGAGAGAGGAGAGAAAAGGAAGAAAGAAATTGTATCTATAATTGATATGAGTTGGAAAGACGAGATCCAAAAGTTGTTCTGCTGACTACTTAATAAGTTAAAGGTTTCACGCCTAATGCTTTTTTATCGCACAGAACACGTGCTAAGTAGGGTATGGTTGAGTTTTTGTATTTGCTAGTCCGAGCATATAGTTTTCTATATAGGCTTCTGGTTTTGCCTGATGAGATACAAGGGGAGAGCTGTGAATGAAGAAAAAGGGTGATGTGAGTTAGATAGAATGGATTTAGCCCATTTTTCACATGAGTCCAAGTGCCTGTCAACCAGAATGTTAACAAGCTGGTTAAATGGCACGTAGCTTACCCTGCTGACAACCTTTAACATCCCACGTAATAAGATATAGTCTTTCTTCACTAGCCCTGGAAAAACTAAGGGGGAACAATAGAGAATAATAGGCAGAATGCGAAAGTTAACGAATTGTAGGAACAAGGGTTGGGTTATACCAGAATTTCTTGACTTCTTGATGTAGGAGGTAAGACGGTGTGCTTTCTCAGAAATCATCAAGATATGTGACAACCAGGAAAGATCAGCAGATAGAACGACGCCAAGATATTTAATTTCCGACTTGGTTTCTATTTCAGTGCCATCAATCTATGTTGCACACCTCGTGGGTGCTAACCAGTTTGTTCAGGTCAGATTTATGCCTAGAGGTGAAATTGACTGTTTGGCATTTGGAGGGATTTAAGGTCAGACCGTTTTCCTTGGACCACCGGCTGATTTCTGATAAAAAGCCATTTAGTTTGGAGCAGTCACTTTGATATTTGACAGGTAAACATACAGTCAGGTCGTCAGCATATTTAACAAAGTTAATGTCATTTGAAGATGGTAGGTCATGTAGAAAGAAAGAAAAGTGAAGTGGGGAGAGTACAGCACCTTGGGGGAGTCCAGCTTCAGTGAACACATCAGAGGAGGATTTACCTTTGTATACAGTGCTCTGCATTCTGTTAGAGAAGTAGGAGTACAACCAGTTTGTGACTCAGGATTCAGTTTATGTTATAGACAGCTTATTTAACAAGAGACATCTAGGTACAGAGTCGAAAGCAGAAGTGAATTTGAGAAACGTGCAGCGAACGTATTTCGCACCTTTATCTAATGATGAGACGATACTGTTGTGTAAGACGGCTGTAACGTCTAAAGTGCTCCTTCCCTGTTTATATGCAAATTGTTTGGGGTCTTCAAAACTTTTAAGGGAGGGTTCGAGTTTAAGTAGTACTAGTTTCTCCATAAGCTTTAGAAACGGGGAAGTAATGGCAATAGGTCTGAACTTTACGTTTTTGCTATTTCCAGGTTTAGGGATAGAGACTATTTTAATGTCTTTCCATGGAACAGGTACAATGTTTTCGGAGAAAGAAGCATTTAGGGTGTTAGTTAGAGGAGAACATAAAGCATCTGCGCATTGGTTTAGAACATATGCAGGTGTACCATCGGGGCCAAGGCTACATGAGTGCTTAAGCGTTTTAAGACATTTTAAAATATCGAGAGTGTTAAAGTCCTGGAAGTTATCAGCTACATGATTAGTAACGTTAGAAGTAGTTATAGTAGAATAGGAGCGTATAAAAGACTGATTAAGAGAATTAACATCATAAGTGGAAAAAACATTACATCGCTTACTATTGCCAGTAATTTCATTGAAAAGTTTCCACATGCTGATAGGAGATTTGCATGATAAAAGTGTTTGGTTATAGATAGCATTAAGATTTTTAATTTCAGATTTGATTTGATCGCTAATCTTTTTAAGTCCTGACTTATCTTTAAGTTTATATAATGTTTCTTTTTCCTGTTTAGCTTACATTCAAAATTAAGAGAACATTGAGGAGTAAGTGTTGCACCACATTTTAGGTTCAACATACGTTTAAATAGAGAACTTTGAACTGTTTGACGGCAAGTGATCCGGTTTTTGCTTATTCTTGAGTCCCAGTTCAGTTAGTTATTCACATGTCGATTACCTTTTTTACTCAGAAGTCAATTTTTTCTTATTCGTTTACATTCCCAGTGAAACATAGGAGGCGAAGGGGTCAAGCAAGAGGCTTGAAGTTTCGGTAGCAGCAGTGGTGTTTATTACTTTTACGGGATGGAGTTGCTAGCCAACCTCATACCCAACCTTCCCTCTTTACCAGTTGTATTACTGGCTTAGTGGGGTGAAGGAATGAATTGACCGGGGATCGAACCCCATACCACATGAGGTGTGGTTGATGAACCACCGACGTACACTAGAATTAAGTAGATTGGTCAGTTAGTTAACCTTTGAGGGAATTGAAAATGTTCCAAGTCTAAGTGGACTTCCACCCTATGATTTCAAGTTGAAATTCCGGGAATTTCAACAATAGTTTCCCAGAAGTGCGAATTCTTAAATGACCTTGAACGCATGCTAGTAGTTAGTTGAAGAAACTTACGATTATGAATGTTGTTCATCTGCTCAGGTGCAAATTTCACCAGATCACGTGTTTCAATACTGTCTGGATAATGGATTGACAGGACGTACTCGTATATGTAGCTGTGGTGCTTCAATGAAGCTGCAACCGTATTCACAGGTCATTGGTGGATATATATTCAAATGTACGGAGTGTAGGAAGCGAACAAGTGTTCGTACGGGTAAGTGACACTCTCAGTTAATTGTCTGCTAGGAACTTCTTTGCTAAATCCAAACTTTCTTTGACGAATATAGTGTTTCTTTGCCATTACTGGATTTTCAAGTTTGGTGTGAGGTCAATTGAGGGTCAGAACACAGATAATACGTTGACGTCTACTGTGTAGTGGTTTCAATTTGTCGAGATTAAGCATCATGGAAAATGAACAATATTTCACAAGTGTTGGGAGGACTCGGTGTTGTCGTTCATGTCGACGAAACGGTGCTTATAAAGAAGAAATACAAACGCGGACGTGCTACAGCAAGTAAGGTTTGGGTATTGGGAATTTACGACACCCAAATTCAAAAACGATTCATTGAACTTATTCCAACAGAAGTGCCAATACTTTTCTGCCTATGATTCATAGACTCCTTTTGCCTGGCACTACTATACACTCAGATGAATGAACAGGATAAAGCAATTATAGGATTTAGGATTTATACACCACCGAGTTAATCATTCTGATGATTTCGTCGATCCCAGAACCGCTACTCATGCTAATATAATAGACGGTTTCTGGGAAGATTAAAAAATAGAATAAGAACAATAAATGGCTATCAAAACCAAGTTATATTTTAAGTCACCTGGATGAATAAATTGATATAATTTCAAAGCTGACACTCCCCACTATAATTGGGACACATTTTTGTCTCAGATCAGAGGAAAATACCCTGTTTAATATTTTTTTTCATCGCCTTTTATGTAAATATACGTAATTTTTGGTGAAAAAACCCTTCATTTTTTTCTGATTGGTCGGCTCAAGGTCACTCGTGCGTTTGTACTCCTTTGGAACGCTATTGTAGAACTTTGCCCAATTTTCTACCGAAGGAATAACCCTGATATATTTAACACTGAAATATTAATCAGTGTTGTAAGCCACATCAATTTATATGACGTAGATAATCTCAAAAGATTCACGTGTTCACCAACAAACAAAATGCACCAGTATTCAGTTGACTTCCATCCAATCACTTTTAACCATGAATGGAAGTGATTTATCTTCTGTTATGTGTCATAATCATTACTATCATGTAGTCTGTTGGACTGACTTTATTTTACATTGATTTCCTGCATTTAAATATACATTGGAAATGCATTTTTCTATTACCACTTACATTCCCTGCGGTAGCTGACAAGTCGACAATCTACGATCTCTTATAAATCTTTGGCAGTTGAGTCCACTTTGTAAGGATTTAACTTAGGAATACTTAAAGTTTTGCTTGCTGAATTCGATGCTGAATGTGACATTATAAGTGAACAACCCAAGAATGGGAAATTAGTATGGTGCAACTGTTTATTATTCATTGACTTTGAGCAGTTTTCCGCTCGATTTCGATTCGTTCTAAATCCGTCCATGAGATGTTTCAAAATACAGGTATATACGTAGTCATAATCCTATGATCAGACCTGTAGTTGTGTAAAGCTGTTCTATGGTCTGTATTCTTAATTCTGGCAGACTGGATTATGCGCCAGACTCAAGGGGAGTGAGGAGACGGAAATTGGATTTGGCGATCAGAAGGCTCTACAAGATCTGGATTTCGTGCGTGGATGATTTATGTTCAATATCACACGAATTCGAAGACTTGTAGGCGTAAAACAACAGACTGGCTGAACAGGTCAACCACGAAGACAGGACTCATTGTGAACACAGAGAAGATGTGGGGGGAGGTTGATGAAGACAATAAACCAACCAACCAACATCAAAAACAACCAGCACAAATCACCGTCAACGGCAGAGATTTGACAGAGGTTACTTCGAACAAGGCATTAAGAAGACAAATTTCGCGAGATGATATCATTTCGTAGTTTCTTTACAACCGCTTTACAACTAACATGGTTAACAATGATAAAATAAAGTTCATGAAAATTACTCAGTTAAATAAAAACAAAAGTACATACTAATGACCAATCATATTAAGATAGGTCATGCAGTCCAGGGTAGGCGAAGATTGAAGTCTATTGATTTTTGTACACACAGTTTAGGCTGTATGTGATTAATCCAAAGTGCTTCCATCACCTTCAATAACCTTGAATTAGAGTTATGTGAAATAATTGTGAAACAGTCATTAATATTTATTTTGTGACCAGACATTAATAAGTGTTTTGCAATGGATGATGCTGGATTTCTATTAAGATTAATCGCGTTAGGATTTTCGATATGATTTACTAGCCATTTTGGAACATGTTCTTTTCGACCACGACATTGGAACATTCTGTTGGTTCTACCTATATAGGTGTAACCACAACAACTGCAGGTGAACTTGTAGATACAGTTTGAAGTAGAGTCCACAGAATTTCGTCCTTTAATCGTAGGAACAGGGATCGGAAATGTTCGGCAAGTGAGAAAAAGAGATGCGGCGTAGAATGTGCGTTTGATGGCTGATCGAAGTCTTTGAGTTGTCAACTGCATAATCTGGTCGCCCTTGAATGGTAGATTAATAAAGATGGCTTTCTTTGGTACAGAAGCTGTCTCTTCGAGATGTGGTTTTTCTTTGCTGTGACAAGTGATAAAGCTCTCCGGATAACCATTAGCTAATAAAACTGAATGTACATGTCGAAGCTCATCCATCAGTGTGTCACTCGTGCATATTTTTCGGGCCCTTGAGAACAAACATTTCACTAGGGAACGTTTATACTGGATAGGAACAAAACTGGTAAAATGAAGATATTGTCCAGTCCATGTTTGTTTACGAAAAATAGAGCGCTGAATCGTACCATCATTTCTCCTAATCATAGTTACTTCCTTAGCTTGTCTAGGAAGCATGATTTCAATCAAAGGCGGTGGAACGGATGGAGGTGTCAAAGGCAACAAAAATTGGAAAGGCAAAGTGTGCCTTCATCAACCTCAAATCAGTTCGAATATCTTCTGTGCTTCGCCTCACCATAAAAAAGCAAGAATAGGATTTTCAATACCAATTTCAAGTCAGTCAGTCAGTCAGAAACGTGGCCAGCGTGTCACGGAAAGGATTTCCAACAAACCGCTACAGACTTTTATCGACAGTACCCAATTTGTTAGCTGGCTCCATACTGAAGATCTAATGGCCAGCCGGCTGAAAGGAAAGAATTAGCAGCAAGAAACACTACAGTGGAACAAACCAACCGAGAGCCGATCGCTCAACATAAATGTAGGAGGAAAAGGAGACGGATTAGACACACTCAGGGGAGGGTGTCGAATGACATCGCGCGCATTGCAGGTCACCACCCGAGTGGAATCCCAGTGGGGAACGTCGAGTGTTTCGTCGGTGTGAGGGTGACAAAGGGGAAGTCGTTTTGGAAGGGGAGGAGTTGGGGGATTATGAGCAATCGTGTGGTTAGCCAGCTGAAGAGGATAGCAGAAAATAGACTGAAGAGGAGGTGTACTGTTGAAGCCCTGTGTTCGACTCGGAACCCAAAGGAATAATAATCGAGTAATAATAGTATGCTTCACCCATCTACATAAAATGTACCGCATCGTTTCAAAGAAAGCCATTTTGAATAAGCATCAGCAAAGTAGACCCTTTACAAGTATCTGTGTTTGTTGGACTTACGGTCTTTTGGCTGTTTTTCTAATTTCTGCATATATGAAATCTGGTAAAATGCTTCAATCTCTAACACTTATTATGTTTAGTTAAATAACTTTATTTGATACTCTCGTCAGTATCAATCAGCAGTTCAGATGACTGAATTAACAAAACTGATATCAATACTGTGATAAGTACTCACTTCTAACTGCTTTCAAAGCAGAAGGGAACATAATTGACGCATTCAACCTATCTGAGAGTGATGTAAGTATATAAAGTGGTTGGGAATTATTTCCTGTATCCCAAACGACATGGTATAAACAAAATGATAGTCAATCCTTTTGATATGTGTCAGTAAGTATGAACGATTGATTATCTTGGCGCATTAAATAAGCATTCCATTGTGAATATACTGCTAATTCAAGTAATTTTACACTTAGCTGCCGCACATTTAAAAATATAACAGAAATAAGAAATACTAATCAAATTAGTTGACGTACTCATTTGCGTGGCTTGAAGATCTTCTGTGCTCCGCCTCACCATATTTTTGATTGATTTCCTCTGTTACATGGGAATTCAGCTCTTCCTTGGGGGAGTGAGCTTTTTTACTAAATGAAGATTGAGGAGGTAAAACAAACGATGATGAAAAATGAGGTTGAAGCGATGAACATTCTGGACAAATTCAACGAGGTTCATCCTGCAATCAACTTTACTATTGAGAAAGAAAAAGGCTCTAGTATTTTAAAACAATTAGTCCCTTTTATAAATTTTGATAGCATTATGAGAAGACGCAGACTATCTGAAAAATGTGATGTATTAGCGCTATACATTTCGAACAGTCTGATCACACAGTAGAATTGTGAGACAAAGGTTGAATTCAATCATCCGTACAACCTACTATGCAGCCCAGCTTGTAATTGTGGAAAAAGCTAAAAATATGCTTCACTGGAAACCCCAAAAGTGCACAAGTGATTATAGGTCATTATAAGGTCATCTATAAAAACACCCTTGACCGTTTTTATAGATGACCTTAAAGGCTGAGTTAACATCAATCTTATGGTTCATCTCGATTAGATGTTTAGCTATAGACGAATTTGGTAGTCTGCCACCTGCATCTATTAGCTTGTCACAATTCATCTGTTTTTCTAACCATTTTGGGATATGCTCTCCCACCCTCACGTGCAAAGCGCGATTACTCCTCCCTATGTATGTATGTCTACACACACACGAAAATTGGTAAATTGTATGGGATGTGATGTAATCATTTGTGCACTTTTGGGGTTTCCAGTGAAGCATATTTTTAGCTTTTTCCACAATTACAAGCTGGGCTGCATAGTAGGTTGTACGGATGATTGAATTCAACCTTTGTCTCACAATTCTACTGTGTAATCAGATTGTTCGAAATGTATAGCGCTAATACATCACATTTTTCAGATAGTCTCCGTCTTCTTATAACGCTATCAAAATCTAGTATTTTATTTCTAGACGTCCTTATAACCAGAAAAGAGTATGGCACAATAAGAAGACGTGTATATAAGAAAACCTACATCAAGTGGTCAGTATACTCATGTTTTCAGCTTCATGACCATAAAATACAAACACAATCTGGTAAAGTGCTTGCTTACTTAGTTTGCAGAACAAGAGCAATCTCCTCGGATGAATGTCTTGATGAAGAATAAGTTCAACAATAGCGTCCCAAGGATGCGAATGTATGAGTGAATTACGTTGCTGTGCGATCGCAATCAAACGATTCAAATCAACCAAACTTATACATACAGAAAGAGAGTCTGACTAACCTCTCACTACCTAGGTAAATTAATTTACATTTTGATATGACATTAATAACTAGTCATCTAATTTAGGGATCTGAACTCACTGAAAAAATCTCTATCTTTTAAATTGTAACCGCTTTTTTTTGAGTTGCTATGTAAACGTACAAGCAAACACTGTTTTGCTAATTAATTTTTTCTCTTCTCTGTCTTACCCTCCCCCTCTTTTCTACTTTGATAGCGCATAAATTGATGATGGTAGTGGTGTGCAGCTGATGAGAACCTGTGAAACAGAATGACGATGTCCCTTTTCTACTGCACATTTCGTTTTCATTTCTTTATCGAAGTTTCAAAATGACTCTACAAAAATCATTTGATATTTCTTAAGAAAATTAAATTTATCTAGTTTAACTCTTCAAGACGGGAAAAATTAACTCTTTCTTTTGAAGGTTCTAGTGAGATTCATGATGAGGTTAAATCTTGAGTAATGCCTTCCAGGTAGATACTTCTTGCCAGCGAGAAAGTTAAGACTTCATTAGTCATGTTTTACAAGATGAGGTGTCAGGGATTTATATTGCAGAGATGAAATGATGAGGCAGTTTGATTACGGCAGAATAAATTAGCCAATTATGAGAATGCTTGCAATAAATGTTCGCATGAATTGATAGACAATTCAAAATTTTACAGGCAGTAACCTGAGTGAGATGTAGTTTGACAAGAGCTCAAGCCGTACTGAAGTATTGTGTCACTCTAATTTGTCTATTTACTGTCTTTAAATGATGAAACAGGCCACTGTTGGATAACTCCATTATGGATAAGATTTTATTTTGATCAGTCACACACTGTTGTACAGTAATATTTACTGATGACCACAGTTCGAGCACAATTCATTACTGCTCACAGTCATCAGATCAAGGTAGTGATATGTATCCACATGATGTGTGTTTTGTTTTTGACAGTCTGTTATATTTTGCTATGTGTATATGGATCGATATTTCATTATAACTGACAATATGCTTTTGTCTGTCCACTAACTAAATAAACAATGTATGACCTTGTTGTCACATGACATTACAACCAATCATGCTAAGACTGTCTATTTATTGGTTCATGTGTATTATTTATTTTAATATATACTTTTGTACTGTATAACTTGTTCAAACTTGTTCCCACGTTTCGTACACTACGTACCATTTCACTCACACTCCTGTGTGACATTCATTTTCCTTGTTTGGAAAATACAAGTATCATCGTAAACCTGGTGGTCTTCTGATTTCCCTCTTACCACATCAGGACTATTAACTACTCGACGAGTGCATAACAAGTACTCACACAACTTTCTTGCTTTATTTATGTACATGAGTAAAAATTGATGATTAGACATTGGAATAAAATCAGTAATATAAGATAACGTAAATTCAGAAATCATATTAATGTTATCAATCAAATACAATCAGATGTGGATTCAGATGTTTCTATGGTGAAATAAATAAATAACTTGTCAGAATGTTGTAATCTATGTGAAATGAAATAGAATTTTAAGATTATTTATTATCCTCCTCTGATTCGACTGGTAGTAATAATATCTTCCAAATCTCTGGTTTTTGCATTGAGTCACTTCTGTTGCATGTGTTGTGTTGTGTGTAGACTCGATGAAGCAGGTAGGATTCAGTAATCAATCCCTCTCTCTCTCTCCACCTACATAGATTACTTCTTAGAATCTTAACACTCTCCCATCATATTTTGTGGTTGTTTGTTAATGCATGCGGTGCAATTGCTTGGCTTTTTTCCAAATTACTTATCTTCGTGGCAGGAGTCAATTATTCTAACCTTAGCTAAATTCTTATTTTCTGATAATCCCACTACACCTGATCTACTAGTTTGAACTATGTAGTTGATCACCTTCACAGTTATTGCAGGGTATTTTGTAAATTATGTTATTTTGTCTAATTGAGTCAACCGAGAGGGTCCTTTATCCTGCAGAGCTTGTCCTACCTGAGTGAGTTTGTGGTTTGAATGCTACGCTAACTTTTGCTATGTTCAGAATCCTATGTAGGGAGGGTTTTAAATGTCCCATCGTTTATGCTAAAACTACTGTAGATGCCTTATATTTTTTATTATTTATGTTATCATTATTAGTTTCGCCATCTTAAATTGATTTATTTGAATGTCAAATCATCAAATTTAACTCACATATACAAATGAAGCAAAAAGGTTGTGTCAGTAGTACCTTGATATGATGATTATGAGCGACAGTTAATTGTGCTCTAAACGTATTCATCAGTAAATATTACCTACTGTACAGCACACTGCGTGATTCATCAAAATAAAATCTTATCCATAATGGAGTTATGCCCTACCACACTGCTCAAGGTTTATATCAAGAACTGTTGTATATCGCCTTGAAAACATAATTATTCTATATTTGGGTTGAAATGTCATGTCTTATTTTTTCAATTAACTTTAGTGTTTCACCTTAAGTTACTACTTGTTACATCACTAGCATTTTTATTTGCAAACTACTACGCACTAGGTGCATGCACTACGTACCTAATTATCACACAGACGTTCCGACTGTTTTCTAAGGTCAAAGTATTCTAACTGAATACTTAAATTCTTTAGACATTCAATTTATATCATCCGGTGATGTTTATATTCGTGGAAATTAAAATAGTGAGGTGTACACTCATCAATTAATCAATTATTTCCAACGGTTCTATTAATGAATGATGACAAGCTAATTAGGGTTTTGCATGAAACATACACATACTGATTTGATAGATGAGTGATCGTTGAAGGCAGTCAGTGGGAATCTCTAGTCTTACGTAACGTATTTATTATTACTTTTCGATAAAGGGTACAGCAGCCACATAGGAACTGGTGTTGCCTCAGGCGTTCAAATATGTGTGATGCATTGCTACATTCAAAGACATCCATCCCAACAAAGCTTTTAAAGCTGTTGACTGGATTAAATGTAGAGTTTTCATGAGCTCACAGATGCCATTAGTAGCATAACGGATGACATTTTCGCCCCTGTGCTCAAATCAAGAATGACTTGAACCATTGTGTTCAAGCATCCAGAATCTTTTTCAACAAATCAGAAAAGAGGAGATCAGAGGTGTGTTTTATATATATTCCTTTATCAACAAGTAGTAACTCCATTTTCAATCATTCATCTTTTTGCTAGAAAACTAACATTTAATGACAACAGTATCTGAACGGTTATGAGCCTTGTTTGTGTTATTATATTACTGATAATTATATGTCAGTAATACTGATTGTCATCGGATTCTTAAAATCAGAAACCAATCCAATCATGAATCGGTAGAAATAAGAATTCATGAGCCATTGAATTGGGTCCCGGTGGTTGAATGGTATACTAGCCAGCTTACCTTGTCACCGGAAGGTCCTGCGTTCCAACCCCCTGGGTGGTGGGTGCATACTGCCAATGCTTCCTAAAAACACTAGGATGAAACAGCAGCTGTTCGGTACTCCTTAAGGCTGGTTTTCAATGGTTCTCTAACTGTGATATCAATCCGTGATCAACTCGTAAAAAGCAATGACTTCCTAACTGTATTGTGTTAGATCCAGATGGAATTTCATAAAGAGGAATATCATGATAAAGAAAAATTCGGTAAGAAAATCAAATTTCCTAACAGTTGGAATGTGGAGTAGTTGTATTTTTGAAACTTACCGTTCTTCTTCGATTATTGATAATACTTTTTCAACCGGACCACCAAATGAAAAGGATAAAAGGCTTAATGTGAATAGTAGGAATAACATCCCCTGCTGACTTTTCATTTTCTTCGCACCTTAAAAGCAAGAAACAAAAAGAGAAAAATTTCTAATCGTTAGTAAAATGACAACGGGCAATAAGGAAACAGGCATAAAATGGACTCACACAAAAAACTTGGAGGATCTGGACTGCGCCGACGTCATATATATAAATATATATATATATATATATATATATATATGTCTGATTTCGCACAAACTGGAAGATATGCAAGTGAAAAGAAACAAGTTGGCCGAAGAAGCATCAAAGATAGGACTTCAATTCAGGTAAACATAGAGAAAACAGAGGTGATGAAGATTCCTGGCCAACAGAAACACCACCAACAACAGACAACAATCAGCCAGCATAAATGGGAGGAACCTGAAAGAAACAACCTCCTTTACCTATTTACCTACCTGGGAAGCATCGTTTCAACTACAGGCGGAACTGACGAGGATATCAAAGCTAGAATCGGAAAAGCAAGACAAGTTTTCATTACACTCAAGTTTGTGTGGAGATCAACAGTACTCAGCATCAAAAATAAGATCCGAATTTCCAACTCCAATGTGAAGTCAGTCAGTGCTACTATACGGATCAGAGACTCGGCGAGCCATAAAGAGCATCTCCAACAAACTTCAGACCTTCATTAACAGTTGTCTTCGCTCGATACTCAAGATCAGATGGCCGGCCAGAAAAGATCAGCAACAGGGTTCTCTGGGAGAGAACCAACCAGGAATCGATTGTGAAACAAATAGGCAGGGAGAAATGGAGATGGATTGACTAGCCATACTCTGAGGAAACCAGCAAGTGACATCACTAGACAAGCCATCACTCGAGTGGAACCAGGCCGAAAGGGAAGCGGCGAGTTTGTCGTCAGTGCGAGAGTGACTTGGAGGAGGTCATGTGAAGAGGAGATGAAAGCATTTGGGCAGACTTGTAGCAAGGTGAAAAAGTTGACAGAAAACCGAAGGCAATGGAGATGCGCAGCTGAAGCCCTATGTTCGTCTAGGAATTAAAGGATACAATAATAATAATAAAATGACTGAATTTATAATCTCACATAATTTTAAAGACAGCACTGTCAGAGCAGCTTATCTTATCAACATAAATTTAAAAGCCAAATCATAATTTGGAAAGAGTGGTATCCCATTGGGCCATATCGTTGACATTGTCACTGATAGGCACTTGATGCCATGTAACAAATTTGCTAAAGGAATTTCGCCAGACTCTGAGCACCCACTCTACCCACAGCTCCAACCTTGTGTCTCCTCTTCAGGTAAAACAAGAAGTCTTTTCAGAAGACTTTATGCACGTACGTCTAAGTATAAAAATTCCACTATACCATATTTGGCGGCACGTATTCTGTGTGATGAAAATAGTGTTAGGCATGAACTAACTAGCCAACCTTCTTTGCACTAGTAAATAAACCATTCCTTCCACCCTTACAACATCAAGCTTTATTGTTATTGTATTTCTTATATTTATAATCCTCTCAATTTTTTTGTTTTTGTTTATTTTTTTCATAAGTGTGAACATAATTTAAGGACATGTGTTAAGAGAAAGGAAAACGGACATTTCAGTATATCTATATTCAGGAAGAAAACCCACAAACTCAATTACGAACAAGCTTTGTCGGTTAGAGGATCCTGTGGAGCCTTTAAAACAAAACAATTTAGTTTTTCTAATACCCTACCTCTAATGATTGTCAGGTCTAATACATAGGTCAAATACAGTAGAATAGGGACAGTCAGTCAGACTAGCTGAACATAAAAACCTAGCAGCAAAATCTAAATTGCTTGACCCAAATAAGATAAGAAATCTAGAGAATAGTTCAGCTATAGCACTCGCTACATGCAGTTACACACAACCATGCAATAGGATGGATGGGATAGGATGACAGTTTTAAAATCTAATGTCACAGGGTGGAGTGAGGGAGAGATTGATAACTGACTGGGGCTTTGTTTATCAAATAAACTAAATAAAAATACATGTAATAGGGATGATTCATCACCTGTCCCTGATATCTGGAAAATTCTACTACCCGAACGACGACAAATAGGAGAGAACAAAGAAAACAACTATAAAACTCAAGTTTCAAAGTCGTGTGATTACAATTGATATGATTGTGAAGAATAATAGATTTTGTTCGGAACTGTGTCATCCAGTAAATAATACTGTTTCAGTGACTATGGGAAACATCTAATAAACAAACTAGTATGGAATTACTTACTACCACAGTCCCCAAGTTTTACACATATAATAATGTGCAGAATAAGGTGTATATAAGTGCCACAAATGAACTAAAGTGTTTAATCATGTGATTAACTTTAGGAATAAGTAGTTACTCGAATGACACTAACTAATTAAGTGAAAACGGGAAGGCCAATAAATTATTACATCACAAAATATTCACATAATCTACTTACCCTCAGTTAACAAGATGATACTAATGAATTCATTTACAAACTGTTTCACATTTATAGCTTCCAGTGGAATCACATAACCGTTTTATTGGATAAAATCCATTTGTATGTAACATTCATCTGTACTCACAGTGTTGCATGCCTTTAAAATATTCAGTTTACAGTGATATCCATAAATACGCAACAATGTTTCTCATTTTTCACAGTGCTATCAAGTTTCCCTTCATAGTTGCTATAGTAACAGTGATCATGAGCAATATTATTATTATTCTTTATTATTATCATTATTAACTGTTGAAAATTTCGCAGCAGATTATTTACGCTTTAGTGTATTGAAGAATTGTGTGTGTGTGTGTGTGTGAAGAGACTGAAAATGTGATGGTAGTAGTATTGTGATGAGAGCTGTCTGCAAGACAAAATTATAGATAACGACAATTAACGTCAGTGTTTACGTTCCGAATCGAGGTCATGAGAAAAGTTTCAGATATGCACTTCTAGGCACCATCAGTCTCTCAGCATTCATATAACACTACCAGACTCATCCTCATCTTGGATATGTGAAGCATTATTCTACTACCCTCAGGGACAAAATAAGGAAAAACTAAGATCTACGATACGACAAAACTAAAAAAATTCACCTACACTGATATCCACAAATGTTTTAAAACTGTGGTCGTAATGTCTTTTTGTCTCACTATATGATTTAAGCTATGAATTAATAATTAATTAATTTTCAAGTATTGGTTTTGTTGGGATTTTGTTTGATTGCATGGAGGATTTAATCATGAGCTGACATCAGTTAGAGAACCACTGGAAAACCTGGAAGTACTGGACAGCTGTTTCGTCCTAGTTCGGGACTCTTCAGGCAGTTAACCTGGGGTTCTAGTGGGAAGCCGTGACCAGTAGGGTACAGCAGGTTGAAGATGAGGCAGTAACTCATCGAAGAAGACATTGCGAAGTGGTCGCGCTATGTCGTGAACTGGCAGAAGTTAGAATTCAAGGACCATTGGATCGGGTCCAGTGGCTCAATGGTCTACGAGCTCGCCTTGTAACCGGAAGATCCTGGGTTCGAATCCCGGTGGGTGCGTACTGCTGAAGAGTTCCAAACTAGGCTGACGAAACAGCTGTCCAGTACTCCCAGGTTTTCCAGTGGTTCTCTAACTGATGTCAGCTCATGATTAAATCCTCCATGCAATTAATTAATTATTAATTAATAATTACAGACGAAATCTTGGAAACCAAATGCATTAGTAGAAGTTTCTTGACAAAGAAGCACAGAAGAGAACTAAAGAATGGAATAAATGATGAGAGACTGATAATCCCAAAGCCTGATAAAGGATCATGAGTAGTCCTCCTTGATAGAAGTGACTATATTAAAAAGATGAAGGATACACAGAAATTTCAAAAACTTGAGGAGAAGAACGATTTCAATAACAAAATAGAGAATGAATTAACCAGACGTTTGAAGAAACTAAGGGAGGAGCAGATAGTTTCTGAAAGTTTATATGAAGAAATCAGACCAACGGGCACGTATACGCCAAGATTGTACGGCCCACCTAAAGTGCATAAATGGGGGGCACCGTTAAGACAAATACTTGATATGCAGAATTCGTCCTACCATGCTCTAGCTAGATGGTTAGTAAATATTCTCAAACTTTTGCATGAGAAGATAGTGAAATATAGCGTCAAAGATGTATTTGAGTTCGTAGACAAAATCGAAGATATTAATATTAAGGTCAAAACTATAAAATCTCTGAACATAACATGCCTTATTCACAAATGTACCCCTAGCAGAAACAGTTAACTATACATGTGATTAAGTGCATAATCAATCGGTAAACATTGGCATCCGTACTGAAATCCTAAAAGAATTGTTATTAAGGTGTACTACTGAATGTAAACTTCAAATTTGACAGCACGCTTTACAGGCAAGTGGACCGGTGGCGATGGCTCCCCATTTCTTTCTAAGTAAATTAGAAAATGGACCTTTGAACAAACTTATAAGTAAGTTCTCATTTTATTGCCAGTATATGGATGACACCTTCATTCTTTGTGATAATGGTTCGGATAGGAGTACAATAAAAATCGAATTGAATGAATTAACTTCCGCTATGAAATTCACGTACGAAGAGGAATTCCAAAACAGAATAACCTTCCTGGATGTTCTACTTACAAGAAAACCATATGGTAGCATAAAAATAAATTTGCATAGAAAAAGTACTTGTAGAGGACAATATACACATTTTCACAGCTTCCTTCCCATCAAGTACAAAAGAAATTTAGTGAAGACCCTCAGCCACAGAGTTAGAGCTACATGCTCAGAAGAAGTAAGTGAAGATGAATTAAGCATTGTATGTGATATCTTGATTGAAAATAGTCATCCCGACAAATTTATCAAGAAACCCATGACAAAGAAAGCGGAAAAGGATTACTCACCATCCGTGAACAAGAAGCATTTATACATACGATTGCAATTCAAAGGCAATATACCAAGTGAAATAATTACGAAGAAATTAAGAAAATCAGTCCAAAGAACTTTTAATGCTGGCGAACTACACGTCTTGTTCTCTACACGACCGATGGTGAATCCTCTGCTAAAAGATGAAGTCACTAGTCTAGCCACTTCAAATTGTATCTACAATTCAACTGGTCTTGTAGTGGAGCGAGTTATATCGGCCGTTGTTTAGGAAATTGATTTTTCGTGGCAGCTCAAGAACACCTCCCAGTATGACTAAGTAAAGGCTTAGTAAAAACCGTTAACTGTTCGATATTAGAAAACCTGATCCGAACCGGCCACAAAGCCAGACAGCATTGAAGAATCCTTCTCTATCATCCACTGGGTAAAAAATAAATTTTCGCAAACATCGAAGTACCGCATCCTGCAAACAGCAGAAGCTATCGCGATTCGCGTGAAACCACCAGTACGTTGTGTGTAAAAGAAGCAAGTCCAGCCAGCCACTACTACCTCCCTAGCCTTCTTCAGTCGAGACTAAAAATTCATGAATTTGTATTATTATCTTTCCTAATTTTTCTAACCTCGCCAGATTAATACCTTGCTAGGCTACTAGCTTGCTAGTTTTCTAGCCGGTCCCAAGCCCGGATAAAGAGGGAGGGTTGGGGCGTGGTGCTAGCAACTCCACCGTAAAACAAATCGCTACAGAAACTTCAACGAATAAATATATTAAAAATTCTAAAAACATAAGCAATAGCCTTATTTTCGCTGGAATCGGGGAAGTGAAATGACGCAGGCTGGTGAAAGCCTTCGGGAAGCCAGTCAGCCGATGTGCCTTCTTTCGATGAAAGCAAAAGTAAGGATGGGTACCTGGAATGTTCGTACAATGTACGAAACTGGAAAGGCTGCCCAGATAGCCGCTGAAATGAGAAGGTACAGAATAGAAGTGTTGGGAATCTGCGAGAGCAGATGGAACGGAACTGGAAGGTGCCAACTACCTACTGGAGAGACAGTAATCTTTTCCGGCCACCCAGAGGACAACCATGAGCACACCGAGGGAGTGGCCATCATGATGTCACCAACAGCAACCAAAGCTCTCATGCAGTGGGAACCAATCTCCTCCAGGATAATGACAGCCAGGTTCAACTCAAAAGGAAGGAAAGTTACAGTCATTCAATGCTATGCGCCTACAAACGTCTCAGAACAAGAGAAGAAGGAGGCGTTCTACAGACAACTACAAGCAATAATGGACAACGTCCCAAATGGCGATATCAAAATCCTGATGGTGACATGAATGCGAAGCTTGGAGGAGACAACACAGGAAGAGAACTCACCATGGGTCGTGAGGCCCTCGGTGAAATGAACGACAATGGTGAACTCTTCTCAGACTTCTGCGCCTTCAATGATTTGGTGATTGGTGGTAGTGTGTTCAAACACAAGGATATACACAAGACGACATGGATTTCACCAGATGGAAACACCAAGAACCAAATAGACTTCATCTCAATTTCAAGAAAGTGGAGACGGAGCCTACTGGACACAAGGTCAAGGAGAGGAGCAGATGTGGGTTCAGACCACTATCTAGTACAAGGGACTTTCAAGGTGAAACTAAAAGCCTCGAGGATAGCTGGGGATAGGCCACAATGCAAGTTCAACACTCAATTACTGAAGGACACAACCACAAAAGACACCTTCACTGCAACTGTCAGAGCAAAGCAGGAAACACTACGCGACATCACTGAAGAATCATGCGTGGAAGAACATTGGAAGTCTCTGAAGGCGATTCTCAACGAAACGTGTTCAACGGTTCTAGGAAGAAAGAAGAGACAAGACAAGGAATGGCTCTCAACGGACACTTGGAAATTAATAGAAGAGAGGAGAATGGTGAAAGAGAAAATGATTCAATGCAAGGACGGACAGGAGAAGGAGACGATGAGCTCAACTTACAAAGCACTGGACAAAGAAGTGAAGAAAAGTGCTAGGAAGGACAAAAGACGATTCTACGACAATCTAGCCACTGAAGCTGAAAAGGCAGCAGGCAAAAGGGACCTGAGGACACTATATCAGATAACCAAATCTCTATCCGGGAAGAGACCAACACAAGCGAAACCTATAAAAGACAGCCAAGGGAACCCAATTACCAAGGAAGAAAAACAGATTAAACAATGGGCGGATCACTTCAAAGGACTCTTGAACCGACCATCACCTGCAACCCGTCCAGAAATACCAACAACAGCGCGCACACAACTGCAAGTTGACACCAATCCTCCAACGAGAGCTGAAGTCTTGAATGCAATCAAGCTTCTGAAAGCTGGAAAAGCAGCTGGACCAGATGGAATACCCCCTGAAGCACTGAAAGCGGACCCAGAGACTACAGCAGACATGCTGACTCCATTATTGCAAAAGGTCTGGAAGGAGGGAAAGGTGCCTACTGACTGGAGGAAAGGTTACCTCGTGAAACTACCAAAGAGGAGACAGAACTCCGACCAGAACAAGCTGGATTCAGGAAAGGCAAATCATGTACTGACCAAATTGCAACTCTACGCATCATCATCACAGAACAAAGCATGGAATGGCAATCAAACCTCTACCTCAACTTTATAGACTTTGAAAAGGCCTTCGACAGCGTTGACCGTGAAGTAATTTGGAAATTACTCGAGTACTACGGCGTACCCCAAATATTCATCA